AAGAATGGGAGCTTCAAAACTGTGTCTATCTGGGAGTATCCCTAAGCTGCATGAATGGCAGCTATACGCATGAATTTGGGCTGTTCTAGGAGAATATAATGTTCTCTATGATGATCCAGCAGCCTAGTAAAGACACCAGATGCTGCACACTGTGGCTTTTGTTAACAGTGGTCAACATTAACATTCTTCAAAAGAGAAGATAATTTTAAATTCAGACAAGAACTGGCATCTCACCTTGGTAAAGTGCAACCAGACCAGACCAGAGATATAACCATTTTCACTGTAACTGTCCAGGGCTGCAGGTTTTATCTTATTTTAATCAGATCCCTCATGACCTTTTTGTGTCCTGTATTTTCATATAAAGCATATAATTTTCGCCATACCTTCCCTTTGACACGATGACCATTGAAACTTACCCTCCATCAGAAGATCCTGAAGAAAGGAGGTGATCTGACCAGGTGTCTGCATGGGGCTGAACAATGTGGTTAAAGAAGTATGTCTTCATCCCATAATGCAGTCCTGATTTTTTTCCTCCTACCCTAGACAGTCATGCTCCAGCCCAATGCCAGAAGTCTGTGGATGTAGATTAAATAGCAGTTTAGTAATCAGGAGATTTCAATATTGCTTCTCTCTTGGCCAGAGACCTGCTGTGCCTCCTGGAACAAGCGTTTCCTCTGCTTTTCTTTTTTCTCCTCCCACCTTTCCTTTGCCCTGCTCATTTATGTGACCAGCTCTTCCAGGGAGTCTGTTTTGCTCCATAACTGATTTCCAGTTGACCCCAGTTCAATCTGAGCTGTCTAGACACAATCTCTGCTGAAATAATAATAATCTAACTGAAAACAAAATGCCAGTATTTTTTGTACCAATGTAACACCTGTTTTGTATTACTCTGGCTTTGTCCCCTACATTACTGATGCTTAGAGGCAAAACAAAAAGCTGATCATTTTACCACCATTAAATGTTATTAATAACTTTTAAACAATTGTCAGTGAACTTAAGTGCTCCTGTAAGTGAGGGATTAATAGTGTCAACCCAATATATATCTCAGACACTGGCACACCACTTACAGGCAAACTATCAGTGATGCCTGGCCTCAAAAGTCTCCATCTGGAGAAGCCGCCAAGCAGCGCAAAATTACATTCTTGTCTGAGCTATCCTCCCTGCTCCTGCCCAGGACCCACTGCTCAGTCAGTCCTCCAGTCTACTGTCTGTACTGCAGCCTTCTCTCCTCCCCCATTCCTATCCCACTAATGTTTTTCCCTTGGTTCCCTCATATGTCTCCCAAAAAATTCTGTCCCCGACCTGCCTATAACACCTGCTCCTTTTTTCCTGTCTGCTCCATCAGGTACACTTTTCCAAGGAACACGGCCACAGCACTTTTCTGTGCATCAAGGACAGAAGAGATTTGCAGGATCATTATCATATGGTCAAACAACACATTATGCCCAACTGCAGTCCTGGTAGAAATAGAAATCACTGTGAGCTTATGGCAAAATCTGGGGCCTGAGCAGCACACCCTATTATTAAAGTGATCCAGATATTAGTAGAAAAGTGATGACTGTATATTATATTCTTCCTGTTTGTGTGCCCTTTGAAAGCTCTGGAAATGTAAATAAGTGTTGTTACATTCATTTCATAGGTCACTACTTGTGAAACTTTGGGTAGAAAGGCTGAGTTATTTTGTCCAGATTTATAAAAAATGCTCATGGCAAAACAGAGGCATTAATTCAGGTCTTTTTGCATCTTGATAACCGGTCTTTTTTCCCTTTCTCTCTGGAATTGCTAGTCTCTAAATTTTCATTAATTCCCAGGAGGTAAAATCTATTGTGAGAAAAAAGCTCAGTGTTTTTACTAGCTGCGCGAGGAATATGGTTTAATCAGACAATTTTCAAAACAAATCCCAAATGCCTTCCAGTGACTTATTATCTTCCCTATGGACTTACTTCTGAGTATTTACCTCAGAAAAAAACACCTATTTGCTCTTCTCAACATTATCTCCAATCCTTGCCTCATGCTGCCCCATTCTGCTTGGACCACATCGTGAAACATTCTGTTGTCCCTTAACTATCTACCCATACAATAAGCTCAATTCTGCATTACCCCCAAGGAAGAAAATTTCCTTTCTTATAAGCACAGCAAGAAATAAAACCCAAATCTGAGCAAAAACAATGTCCCTTTCCTACTGCGATGTGCAAAATACTTTCCTGAGGCTGGTATCAACTCCCTCCATTTAAGTGAAGCTCATTTTCAGGCACTTGTCTATTCAGTGGATGGGCAGTGAGCAGAGCCAGAGTTGCCTGACACCAAGATGAATAGACAGATGGCAGGGACAAAAATGGTCACATTTGGTCCGAGCCAGGGGTTCCATTTTTAAGGTCAGGCCTTCATCTTGTAGAGGCCAGGAGGAGGCCTGTGATGATGATGATGATGACAGTGCATTTGGAATGATACTGCAATTTGTTTATCATAGCTTTTGCACAGGAGGTACCAATTTTAGCAAACACAGGAGGAAAGCAATTGAGTTAGCCCTGCAGCAGCATCTGAGGATCTTCTTATCTGCATGGATGACTCTCTTTTTACCCACTGCACATTAGAGTTTAGATACCGAAACAAAAGCTGTTTTCTTTCCTTCGGGAAACAATGAGTATTTCTTAGATATTGCTGAATTTCTTTCCATCTCTTGTTGGAGAGAATAACTACATGTAACTTCATAAGAGATTTACCTGTAAGTTTGAGCCATGCATTAATCAGAATGGCTGGATCCTTCTGAGCTGCTAATCCCAGCATCACATAACTGTCATGAAAGGGGATATATCTGTAAATTTTGCATCACTGTCCTCAGATGACTGGACTTAGTTTTTCCTTGTTTAACTTAACACAACACAGAAAAGGTTTCCTCCCTCCATCTGCATCTCCAGGCCTGTGAAGACAGATGCTAGACCACTAATACATTCTTCAGGCAGTGAAGGCTGATGCAGGTTCTCAAAACAAAACCATGATGTCTCAGTTTACCTTGTATTGAGACTGTAAGTATAAACAAGTTCTAAATATCCCCAGCAAGTGCAAAGACCATAATATAATTAGATTTCACTTTATCAACAACCCTGGAACAGGGCATTGGTGTTCAATGCATTTTTCTCATTAATTGGAGACTAAAACTTGACTTGAACCAGAAAAAAAAAATAAAAATTGCAGTTTGGAAATATGCTTTAAATAGGGTATTAAAAGCAGACAAATGTATACTCTTATAAGAATAAATGAGGAGGAAGGCTGATAAAAAACAGAGAGAAATTTTTTTTTCTCTCAGCTGTGTTTCACATATGACCTCTACAGAATGTGATTAAGAAATAAAAACAAACAAAAACCCCTTCCTTCTGGTATATGTAATGTACTTCTACTCATAAATAAAGAATAATTTGGATTAGTGCTATATTAACCCTTTGCAAAATGCAGATTTGTGTGAATGTGTGGTTTTGAATATCAGAAGTCAAGTTCAGAAATGTGGTGTCGGGAAAAGGGTCTCCTTCCAGAATGGAAAATAAATCAAGTTGTGGTTCTGACACGATCCTGGTGCTATGGCAGAATAGAATTTGGTGCTGAAAAGAGCAAATAGTTTTGTGATCTCTTATACTTCATAACACAGGGTAAAGAAGTGAAGATAAAACAATGTGTGTCTACTTCATTGTGTGCATATCCATCCCAATGATATGTTTTACTGGACAGATACCTACGGGTCTGTCTCTGTCATGAAAGAAAGAGGGAATCTGAACAGCAGATTGCTTGGATAAAACATAGACTCTTACTATTCCAGGCTTATTTCTGGAGCTCATGGGAAGTGGGTAAAAGCAAAAACACACTTATTGTACATTACAGATGATCTTAGATTCATTTCCTCACTCTTCTGCAGACACAGAGTGTAAACAGGAGAGTGGACTGAGTCCATCTCTGGTTCTCCTGTGTAGAGAAATTCATTTCCTTTCTCTTAGTGCAAGTCTCTTCCCTTTGGTTGTGAGCTCCTTCACATAAGAACTCCTTTTGCCTGTACCATGTTGTGTTTAGCTCAATGGGCAGATACTGATCAGTTTAACCATTGTTTAAACATTTGCTTCCCAAAGTTTTAGACATTCCATTTCCTTCCCTTTACCCTTCCTCTCTAGTGAATGACTTCTCTCTGTGATAGCCACCATAGTTCTTCCTAGTTTTTTGGGCTTCATTGGGTATCACTATAGTGTTTCCAAAGCAGGATGAGACCCTCAGCTGCGTATTGCCATAACAATAGAGGGAACAACTCGAGGAGGCCATTTCCTTTTCCCTGGTTGCTAAAGAGAGGATGGTATCACCAGCGAGGTCAGCCTCACTTGATGCCTTGTGGCTCCTATCCCCATGTGCATCTTGGCTACCACCTTCTGGTGGGAAAATGTTTTTATATGGAGCATAAACCGCTTCCTGGGGAGAACATTACTGCCTCATTGGACAGAGTCCAGTACCGGATGAGGCTGCAGTTTATCAGCCCTGTCCTCACCACTCCACTCAAAGTGTCTGTGCCATCAGGGGGATTGATGGAGTTGGGAAAGCCCCCAAAACCATATAACTTGACATTAAGGAGAGGTTGCAAAGCTCTTGCAACCAAGAGTACCTTTCAGGGAGACATGCAGAGAAAACTGCTCTGTCTCTTTGGTAGATGACTTTTATTGTGAAGCTGCACAAAACCATTACTGAAGAAAATCACAAATTTGCAGGAGCTAGGAAGAGGGGGAGAGGGGAAAGAACCAACAACAATAAAAATAAGACACATGCTGCTCTGTTTTCTCTTCAGAGGCTTTTGGACAATCTCCTCAGCACTGTAGGCAGCTGCTGAGGTGTTATAAGGAGGAGACAGCTCACAGTAAACTGGACTCACCAGTAAATTAAGCCACAGTGAGCACTGCAGTAGATAATACACCTGTGGTAGGACTACATATCCCAGTGTGATAAATTCACCTGGATATCCCTTCCAAGAGTCCTTATATTGCAAAGCAGTTTATTCTGTGAGGCTTAGGGCAGATGATAGCAAGGAGGAGAGACAGCTGGGATCCCATAGCAGCTAGCTAGTAAGCATCAGCATGTACTTCTTCCTGGCCTCTGAAATAGTAAGCAGAGCAGAGCATGAAACAGCTCTCACTGCAGACATGACCAAAGTGGTGTGGGCAGAGCTGTACTGGCAGACTAGGTTGTTGCTTAGTGAGCTCAGTACTGCTGTGGCAGATTTGCTACCCATGTAAGAGCTTGTAGCCTGCTCGGGTGTACCTACATGGGAGTTCTGCAGTTATAGCAAGTAGATCTTGCGGCTTTGCACAGCACCCTGCATCACTGGCAGCCTCGCATAGAAACACTCACTGTCAATAATGCTGTGGTGTAGTGGTGTAGGTGAGAAAGGAGGACTGAAGGATTTCTTTTTTTTTTTTTTTTACCTGCTGCATAAATAGAATAAAGGAAAATATAATGTAATATAAATAAAAACAAATGGCTCAGTCAACTCATCTTTAATGCTTTGCAGTGTGACATCTATTTTGTCTAATGGAATACGACTTTCATACACCAACTGGATATTTAACCTTGGCCAAAAGTTATGATGTACATTACAATACGCTTTTATTATGTTACACTGTATTGTTGTTGTTTTTTTAATCTATTGCTAAGCCCCTAACAGTATGTCTGTGTCAATGAAACCCATCTGTCAAAAGCACAGTAGGGACATTATTATGTAAATGTAGCTGGGTCTTCCTTTTGTGGAATTGGGGGCAGGAATTTAATATACTGTCCTTATATTCCAGCCAGAGGGGAAAAAATATTTATGAAATATCTTTTTTTTTTTTTTTCAGTAAGAAAAAAAAGAAGTACAGCTGAATTTGGCTTTTAAAAAGTCAGATCTTTATCCTCGCCCTTCCCAGTAAGATCTTTTAGAGCTAATGATACAGTTTCTAATAAAAAATAAAATAAAATACATGAGAGACTTCTTTAAGTGCACCAGGAGACAGATAGGTCATTAATATTAGCACTGCTATCTTTTCTATATTACACTCATATTTCAATAACCTACATTTTGGGGTTATTCTTTTCTTTAACAGGTGTCATTTTGGATTATTTCTTTATTAGGGTTAGTTATAAAATATGCACAAAGGTATGTAGATTTCTGGGAGAGGCGTGGGTGAGGAGGAGATTATTTATTGCAGTTCTTAAACGTCAGCCAGAATCTATCCATCTAAATTGTCTCACTTTAGACGCATTCTGCCATTATTTGTGAAATTAAGCCATTCATCCCTGTGCAGGAAAGGGGCTAAAATTCAAATAGCCACTCTGTGAAATGAAGTACCTACACAGCTCTCCCCTGGGCAAGCTCCCAACCTGAGGAACAGGCACCAGGAGGTCTGTCCCAATGTGATGCATGAAATGAAGTGTGCGTAGCTCTCTAAATCCAGATTACCAGCTGATATCCTCCCTAAAATTCCAAGGCACCATCTGCTGAAATCACAAAGGCCTCCACTATCAGGCTCTCTGAGATGGGAAAGTGTTGTCATCTCCATCTCTGCAGATGGGGTTCTGAGGAGCAGAACAGCTGAGGATGTGTTTGTACAAAAAGATTAAGGTATATTCACAGCATAAGGAAAGGCACGCACACGCTGGCTACATTTTCTTAGTACAGGTAGTGACAACAAGGAGCACATGACAGCAGATTTAGCATGGACAATATTTATGGCCCACTCACAGTCTTGATCATTTTTTGGATCCTGAGTCTTTCTTCCTGTTTCAGTGAGGTTTAGTTAAGGCCACTCCTGTTTAGGAATCCTTTCTAACTTCTTTCAAAGTTAAATCATGAAAATGGAACAGTTTGGTTGAGAAACCATACTAAAGTACATAGATTTCATCATGGACCAGTACATTTCCAAGAGAGAAATAGCCAGCCCCAAAAGCATGTCTGACCATGTCCTGTAGGACTTATAAGGAATTTAGTTATCTAATTCTAAATCTGCAACCAAAATAGCATGACTCCACAGCATCTTTCCTGTGCAAGCTGTTTCCTTTTTTGATGAGAAAGCTTTTAAAATATGTGATGAAAAAACTTTTTGTTTGGTACATTCACATGAGCAGTGGGAAACACCATGTTTTCTTCACCCAGAGTGGACTCAAGACCTCAGCTATTACCCAAAACAAAAGGACCTTATTCCCTGACAAGGTCAGTGAAGGAAACATCTATCCTTGGTCCCACATGGGTCACTGCACAAAAAGGAACGAAACAAAGAAAAATTTTGTTAGAACCTATGGCTGTTTTTGGCAGAAAACTGAAAACATTTAACTTTGGAAACTCTTCTCTCAGTCCTGGAGATCTTGTGGCTCTTGGCAGGATCAAGTTTGCTAGTATAAAGTCACTGGATGCCTGTATGTGTTCCTACACTTTGCCCAAAATGTCTAGGTCCTGGGGATATTAAACAACTGAGTGTCTTTTTCACATCTAAGTCATGTTCAATGAACATCCTCAACGCATTTCTCAGATTCATATGCTAGAGAAAGGTCTCTTTTATCCTTGGAGATAGGTGAGATGCCTGGTGTTCATGGTGAAAATATTCTGTACACCAGGGACTGAGAAAATAATTGAGAAAAATGGAAACCATACATGGTAGGCCCTGTCCCTGTCTAATAAGTTATTGTGTGGGCAGAGATTTATCTTAATATTTGCCTATAATATCATACAGAAATGGCAAAATAGTTGTGTTGGTTACACTGAAGTCTCAGGTCTTGTGTATAAGCTCAGCCTTTCTCTCATTTAAAAGGTGTTGTGGTGGAACAGCCCTCAGGTGTCTGACAACTTAGACCTTGCTTTTCCCATGTTGACAGAGCTTTCTATCCTGATTGTATCTGATAGAGGACATAAAGGTTCTGGTTTAAGCTGATGAGCTCACAGAATCATAGGATGGTTTGGGTTGGAAGGAACCTTTAAAGGTCATCTAGACTAATAAGATACCAGCAAGGTATCAAATATATTTGATCAAAAATCAAATAGGCTTTTAAAGCCTTATCAGGCCTTCCTCTCTGCTAGGAGTTTCTGCTGCATGTCATAGTCGCTGGCAGGGAAAGGTGGAACATGGTCTAAATTGGGATAAACATAATGACTATCCTTAATTGGGCAGCATATGGTGGAGGCAAACATAGTGACTTTTCCTTATCCATAGCAGCCAGTAACATGCTCAGCTTGTCTGTACATCAGAAGACCTAATTTTCGTTAGCTGATTGAGCAGACTTAGAGCATCCTCCAGTTCCTACTGCTCTCAGCTGCCTGCTGAAGGAAGTGCACTGCATACAGGTCCCATTTGAGAATGGTCAGCTCAGAGGGGAGCTGTCTCAGGGGAAGGGAAGATAACAAGTGTTGTTCCTGTTTCTCCTGCTTTCCACAGACACCTGCTTCTGCACGTATTTCTTAATTTAAAGTTTAATCAAATTTTCTTTTGACATCAAAGCCCTTATGTGACATTAGTATCTCTAAAGACTAAAATCGAGATCTATAGATATCTCCAAGTCTAAAAATACTTATTCACTGTTAGTCCAAAAAGTTAAGTAACTATTAATACTCCTTCAGGGCCTGGTACTAAACCAGGCAGTAGGGACGCATTGTGTGAAGGAGGATGTGAAAGATATTGCAACATGCCTCTCATGGGCATGGCACAAGGCAGAGAAGATAAAGTATACTATTTAGTAGTGGGAAGACTCTGAACACTGGCTTGTGAATCTTTTAAAACTCCCTACTAATCGAATGGGACCCATTTGACAGGTGACAATGAAAGAAGTAGAGGGGAGGGCAAGTTCCCTTTAATAGTGCTGCAGCAGGTAAGAAAAAATTGACTACAGGCTCTTTTTTGTGGGTTTGTTTTGCTCCTTTTTTTTTTTTCTTTTTTGATAGTGTTTTACAACTATTCTTAACTAAAGTTCTGAAAAATTTTTATTTAGACTGTTGCCTGGATGTTTCATAGGAGTCGCAGGTTTCACAGGTTTTATGGGATGCTTCATGTGTTCATTCTCCTTCATTGGCTAAGTTGTCTGGTTAAACCACATTTCCAATTGCACTTTAGAGCTTCTAAATGCTAAAAGAGGAGATACTAAGGTAAAAAAACTCTCTGAACACATCTAACCATGACAGACAGAGTCCGAGAGAAAGATCTGTGAGTTAAGATATTTATATTTGTTGATATAACAGTTAGGGTGGCGGGAGTTTTTCCAGAGAATTAATCTTAGTGAATGAAAATTATGTTTTCTGTGGAAAGAAGACAGTTTTTGTAAAATATTAATGCTTTATTTGTCAATAGCTTATATTTTTGTTGTAATTATTATATTACTATTATTGTTGTTTCAGTTGTTGTCATTTAGTAATAGGGTTTTTTTAAATATACTATTAGTAGTCATTTGTATTTTTTTTTTTAACCTTTGGCAGATAGTAACTTTACTGCCACTTCTGTATCTCAGATAGGAAATAAAGTCTAAAGCCTTCCTTAGGGAAGCTGTTAGAGATCTGTTGGTGGAAAAGATTGCCTGGTGATCATCTGGACTTTTCAGTGGGTCATTTCCCCACCTAATTACTTTTTACATAAGTGCCCCCCATCCACAGGTCATAGTGCAGTGCTGTCCTGAGGAACTCAGTGATGTCTCCCCAGTGGTGATGAGTGGGGAAGGGACGGTGAAGAGGTTTGATCTTAAATTCTCCTCCCCAGCAGTGATCAGCAAGGAGGGATGGCAAGGAAGCTTCATCCTATGGTGTGTGAAGTTTCCTGGTCTGCAAAGGATGCCTCAAGCATTTTCACGTGGGAGAGAAAGGATCGTGCAGTCTCAGTCTGGGAAGAAGGGACAGCTGCTCTGGTTTGGCAGCTGAGACATGACAGATTGAGAGGCGGATCTGTCCATGGGGGAAGGGATGCTTCTCCAGTGGTCCTGCCTTTTGGGCCTTTGAAGATTTTTCCATACCCAAGTGAGCTACAGCAGCCAGCCACCACTGAGTGTCCCAGCAGCTCCCTGTCAGGAGCAGATCTTCATGAAAGCATCTGCACATCTTTTTAAGCACTTCTGAGGCACGTAGGCCATAAGGAGGTGGTACAGGGACAGTACTAGAAGCAGAGATCAGTTTTTGTAAGGCCAGCTGTGCTCCATGATTGGCAGGGCAGTAGTTTCTGATCAATAACTGCAAGGGGTTATTGATTCAGCTGCCAATCTGAACTCTTAATTACTGTTATTAAATGTCAGAAACTTTTAGAGTTTAAGTCATATGACTGTAATCTCCTATTCCAGAAGCTCTGTGGTGGCAGGTTCTCATCAGACTCTGTGGCAAGGGTCTGCTCTGGGCTCAGCTGCTGTACACAGGGAATGATGTGACTGGCTTTGGTCTGTCAGCTCTGGGTTTGCTTGGTGGGAGGGAGATTGCAATCTGGCTTATTGCAGATTTCTCCTGCATGTCACTCATGACTCGGAAAGGAAAAAAAAAAAAAGATCCCTTTTCTCTCACTAACAGAAGCTGGAGTTCTTTATCCAGTGAATACTTGCTTTAAGCAGCCCAGAAGACTGCTGAAGTTAGGAACTGAATCTTTCCTTTGTACCCCTAATATAAATATATACATGTACAAACAGAGGCACTCAGCAGGTGACCATTTCAATTGATAGATATTATTCTTATATATGTATTATGAACATTCCTGCAGAAAAGGAAAATATGTGACTATCATATTTTATATGGTCAAGTACATGTGTGTTTGCATGACTTACATGCATGAGTGTTTTGCAGACACTGCTATAGTATAAAGTTGTATTTCTGATGCTTTGTAAAGGTTTGAATTTCTTTCTTGTTCATAAAAATTGCTAGGTCCAGTACTGTGAAAAACACTGACCATTCATGCTCATTTTCCATTCTCTATATTGCTCATGTTTTTTTCCAGAATCATAGAATCGTTTAGGTTGAAAAAGAGTTTTAAGATCATTGAGTCAAACCATTAACTTAGCACTGCAAAGTCTACTGTGCCACTAAGTACCACATCTACACATCTTTTAGATACCTCCAGGGATGGTCACTCAACCACTTCCCTGAACAGTCTGTTCCCAAGAAACAGTTTCTTTACAAAGCCTTTAGTAAGGGATTTACTGAAAATCCAGGTGTGCTTTTATCCCTATGCTTGCTGACTCTTTAAAAACTCTCATAAATTTTGTCAGGGATAACTACTTCCTATAAAACTTGCGTTGTTTTTTTCATGTTACATTATATCCATCTAGTTGTCTGCCAGTTCTGTTCTTGATTACAGTTCCTTCCAATTTGCTTGATGTCGTGCCACACATGGTGGTTTGCAGATCCCCATTTCCCAAACTGAGAAGAAATCCCTGATAAAAACTGTTCCTCTTTAGCAAGGACTAATGATCAAACTAAAGATGGCCATGAAGTACCCTTGATTGTTAATAATACCATGAAGTTAGAAGGAGTTATTTTAGGTTATTGAGTGCCATTTCATTTTATTTAAAAACTTATAGGCTCTTTATAATCTGAAGAAATTATAAGAGGTAGAAGCTAAATCTTAATATTCAACTCTCGTCTCTGTATGGTGAATCAGTGTTGATTCCCTTCATTTAGTATCTTAAACTGGCTTCTTTGTCATTCCATAATTAAAGGCAAAATAAAGAATATATTAATGATTCT